TCTAACTCTGAGATTGAAAAATTTTTAAATTTATTTTATTGTTTTGGTATTTTAAACTTTATTATTTTTCCAAAATGCATCGTCCTCATGTAAAACTATAAATCTAAAGTACCCAAGCAAAAAATAAATAAAATATTAGATTGCTGTAATATTTGTTAATTTGCAAAAAATACTAGGTAGTTATTAAAGTTAGTTCACTTAAAATTCGAAAATTGTTTCACTTCTGTTCTTCCATCCCATAATTTCTCTTCCCTAATCTGTCAATACATCGATTAACAATCATGAACACCTCAAAAACAAGTCTCTGTGATTAAGAAATGCTTTTCTTAGTTCCACTACATTTTTTGTCTGAGAAAAAAAGGTAAGTAATTTTTGTTTCAAATGAGTTTAAACAGACTTTAAATAATCTTTGGACAAATATATTTTATTTTTTCTTGATTTTTAAAACGAAGAAATTAACATTTGTTTACAAATGCCTAAAAAATAACAGCCTTCCTTGATTTTAATGAAAACAAAAACAAATCTAATCCAAGCAATAAAAATTTGGCTTTAAATACACCATAGTATTTTCCTTACTAAGTATAGTAAATGTATTCTTTTACCTTTTAATAAAGAAAGCTTCAAAAAATATGTTTCGGATCTTTTCCGGTAATTCACCCCAAAATATATATTCACACCAAAATAAAAAGAGCTTTCATTTATTAAAATTCCCACCAAATTCAGCCAGAGCGAGGCCTTTCCGTTGTACTCCAACTGGGTTAACCTTTGCTATCGCCTCAAATGTGGGTGACTCGTGTGTTATTTCTAGGTGTGGAGTCTAAGCACACGCTCACCACGATAAACAAGCGAAAAACATTTTGTTTAAATTGTAAAAAAAAAAAAGACCTCAAAAATCATCATCGGCACTTACTGGTTGGTTTGGTGTATTTTATTTCAGGGCATATCAACACCTCAATGGGTTATTTCATACCAACGAGAATTTAGGATAGGTTCGTATGAATAGAATATGTATTCTTTTTAAGAAATCAGTTTGTAAATCAGAGTTCGGGGTTATTTTGATTTACGGCACATCAACACCTCAATGGGTTATTTTATGTCGACAAGATTTTTAGGATAGCTTCGTAAGAATAGAACGTATTCTTTGTAAGAAATAAGTTTGTATATCAGAGTTTGGGTTTAATTTGTTTTACGGCATATCAACACCTCAATGGGTTATTTAATGCTGAGGATATTTTAAGGATGGGTTCGTATGAATAGAATATGTACTCTTTTTTAAGAAATCCGTTTATAAATCATGGTTTGGCTTTATTTCACGGTACATTAACACCTCAATGGGTTATTTAATCTCGACAAGATTTTTAGGAGAGGTTCGTATGAATAGAGACAAATGTATTTCTGGTAATATTTTTTCCCAAAAATAATTTTACTGGTAATAATTTCTTTTTATTTTCCTAAAATGCTATAACAGGTCCCCTCAAATGACGGTTCCGTATAGGACACAGGTTCGATTCCTGTCGGGGAACGCATATTTACTAGGAAATTTCTCGAGCATCCAGGCCGGTAAATGTAATCAACACTGTTTAATTAAAAAACAAACATTTACTTAAATAAATTGTATCTATAAAAGTTAACGTACAAAATGTTTGCATATATATATATATATATATATATATATATATATATATATATATATGTTGTAACCTAGAAAGAGGCTAGAAAGGTTTACTGAGCGAGGAATAACCAAAACGGAGGTTGGAAATAAAATGATAATCTTGAAATTTTTCATGCAAAAAAAAAACAGACTATCATTATTGTTTCGTCCGTGTACTGGTTGAAATATTGAAAAGTAATTGTCATCTTTGATAATGGCTTATGTAAGACGAAAGCTTAGATTGGATTTAAACATGTATCAATATGGTGATTTCCTTTCGTCTTTCAATGATAATGTTATTAAGCTTATCAGATAATATGAAAGGAACTTACTTAAAATAAATAGACAAAACTTGTCTATATTATTTAAGAAACACACACACACACACACACATATATATATATATATATATATATATATATATATATATATATATATTTTCTCTATCTCTCTCTCAATCTGTTCCTATGGTGACTTAAATAATATGTCCCTCTTTATCTCATCTTTAAATAGAATTATTTTTATGTGAACGGAACATCAGCCAAGAGGTGTGCGCTTGTTATTCCTGTTACAAAAAATACATTCTATTTTTCAATCTAAAATTTTAAAAAAAATACAGTTTCCAAAAACGGATCGCTTTTTATTTTTATTTTTCGGAGACAGCTTTTCTTTTCTTTTTCTTTTTTTTTCAATGACTTCCTTGCTAAAATGGTTAAGTGACACTAATTTTCTGTTCTCTGTAACATCTCTGAATTCTTTCATGAAAAAAGTTTAACGTTTGACGGAGTTTCGAGTCTGATTACACTGAAATGACAAAAAATTCTTTCGACATCGCTGTCATTCGCATATCTATATAGTTACCATTCCAGGCGCTTCATAATCTTATTTTATTTGTCTTCAATTGAATTTGGAAGGTCACAAATGATACTAACATTGGTTTAAAAAGTTAGATACATGTTAAACATGATTATCCAATGAAAATCAAACAAAAGAAAAGTAAAAATAACATAATTTCTTTTTCTTCTTCACTATATCTCATTCTCTGATAAAGATTTAATAAAAGTGAAACGTTTCTTATTTGTTCTTTATCTTATCACATATACATATATGTATATATCAACCACACAAATTCTTCTCAATCTCTGATGAAGTATTAATAAAAGTAAGCATGTTAGATCTAGAAACCTTTCCTCTTTGTTCTTTATTTTATGACATATACATATATGTATATATCAATCACACAAGTTCTTCATTTTCTCTATATCTCATTCTCTGATGAAGCTTTAATAAAAGTGAAACATGTTAGATTTAGAAACGTTTCCTATTTGTTATCTTATCACATATACATATATGTATATATCAACCACACAAGTTCTTCATTTTCTCTATATCTCATTCTCTGATGAAGCTTTAATAAAAGTGAAACATGTTAGATTCAGAATCGTTTCCTGTTTGTTTTTATCCAATCTTTCTGTTGGATTTCGGTCCATATTTGATCTATATTGATCTAGATATATATTTGGATCACAACACAGTAAGTGAATAAGTCACCACTGATCCCACGTTCTGCAGGCATCCACAACGAACTTGGCTTCTTTTGTGTGTATCACGGGATGAAGAAAAATTGTTTGAGGAAAAGATTGGGATCAAAATCAAGACAGCAGAAGATGTTTACATTTTCATTTTAATTTAATCAAGTAAAAGAATAGTGTTCCACTATCGGGAAGTGCGAGATAAGAAGATTTTTTGGAGGACATTTAACGGTTTCTGACAGTGAAAGATTGGGACCGAGATGCCAACCTAGTTTTTGCATTACCAGTGAAAGTATCTAGTCAGAGCAGTTTTTTTGTAGAAGAGGCCATTCCCTGGAGACGAGATGCCAGGTCAGGACCTATAATATTGCATGTCCGTCTTCGGATTTTGAGGACCTCGAGATTCCAGACAGCCTGGACAGATATAAAATGACTGGTAGGTAAAAATGTTTCAATTGATTGAAACACAGTGAAATAATAATAGATTAATTAATTAATCAATTTCTCTCGCTGTAGGAGAAATAACAAATATCCATGGAGAGCCGGTTTCTAAAAGATAAAGAAAAATTGATTATTATTACTTATTTATTCATTTTAATTTCAAAGAAACCTTTTGCTGGACATAAGCTGTTGATAAACATGTTTTTCATTCTATGTATTTTTCCATTCCCTATATTAGGATTGTTTTGTTCAGCCTGTAGGTGTTTGTCCAGACTGTGAAAAGAGGAATATGATATAAAATCATTTCAAACTCAGTCATAAGCCTGTATGCGTGTGTGCACGTGTACATTAAATAGTATAAATATATATATATATATATATATATATATATATATATATATATATATATATATATATATATATATATATATATATATATATATATATATATATATATATATATATATATATATATAAGTAACGAAAATAATGGTAATCCGTATGGATAATCCCAAGAGGGATGAAATCCTGAGAGCTCATTGTTAATTCAGAGCGAATAATTTAAAAAAAAACAGACCACTTTAAGGCTCCACTGTAATAGTTTATTTCACCAGGGACTTTTCACCCTTTTTTTCTTTTTCCCCTTCCATTTCCACATATCATTTCCGTTGAGTTGACAGATTAAATAAGTCAATGTCTGATCCTTATCTCCTCCTTCTTCAATATTAAGTATTATAATAGAAAGAAATACAAAAATAAATTCTAAAACTCTCCCTTCCCTCTCTAAACTCCACCATGTCTCTCATACCATCCCTCGCTACCTTCTATGTTAACATATATAAGCTTAATACTGCCCGTCAAATGTGTAAATTTTAATTTCATTTTTCGTTTCACCTTTGAAAGTGATATCTGAGGATCCAGAGAAAATTTAAAAGTCCCTAGTGAAATAAACTATTACAATGGAGCCTTAAAGTGTTCTGTTTTTCCTTTAATATATATATATATATATATATATATATATATATATATATATATATATATATATACACACACACACACACACATATATACACATATATATATATATATATATATATATATATATATATATATATATATATATATACAGACACAGACTACAGACACACAGTAACGAAGAGTGAATCATATATATGTATTTATGTAGTATATGTTTATTACTTCTTCTTATTATTATTATTATATCTTAAGGCCATATCACGTTGCAGCGCCGGTTCTGGTCTGATCACTAAACTTAAGCAAGTTCGAGCCAGGTTAGACCCTTGGAAGTGCGTGTGTAATGGAAAAAACGATTGGAAATTGAAAATCGGAGAGCTGAGTCGGGGTTGCTGTTTTACTTTTGCGCAAGTAGTCTTGGAATGGTATGAAGTTAGATAGATAGATAGATAGATAGATAGATAGATAGATAGATAGATAGATTAGAAGAGATTGAGATAGATAAAGAGGGTGGGGAAGATGAGGAATAGATCGAGATGCATTGGTAGGTAGATTGATACATAGATAATAAAAGAAAGTACACACAAGAAACAGAGATAGATAGATGTATGGATTGACAGATTCAAGATGAAGATACTGAGATAGACAGAGTGAGTGTGATAGAGAATTTACAGACTCAGCTAGCTAGCTAGCTAGATAGAATGAACAGACTGAGATATATAGAGATATTGATAGACAGAATATATCTATCTATCTATCTATCTATGAACAGACTGACATGGATAGATAGATAGATAGATAGATAGATAGATAGATAGATAGATAGATAGATAGATATGAGAAAGATAGATAGATAGATAGATAGATAGATAGATAGATAGATAGATATGAAAAGACTGAGAGAGAGAGAGAAAATATGAACAGACGGAAATAGATATTCACTAAACGTAAATGTGATTTATATTTCGGTTGCCAATTGACCGGCCAGTAACGCTGGCCAGTAACGGTCTTTATTGGTCATTCGGCTTCGGTTCTTGCGTCCGTTTCAAAACAAATCGACTTCCCATAGGTATTTAAACACCTCGCCCCAACACAGGCAAATACCTCCATCGCATTTCTAAATATATGCTTTTTAAATGTAAATATATTCTCCTTCAATATATTATCGTAAAAGACGGTATTGCACACACACATCTATCTATCTATCTATCTATCTATCTATCTATCTATGTGTGCATTATCTCTCTCTCTCTCTCTCTCTCTCTCTCTCTCTCTCTGTATATATGTATCCATTTCTCTCAGTTTTTTAATATCTATCTCAATTTATTTATTATTTATCTGTTCATTTTCTCTGTCCATTATCAATCTCAAATTGTTTAATATCTATCTATCTATCTATCTATTCATCTATCTATCTATCTATTCATTATATATCTATCATTATCTATCTCAATTTGTTTATTATAGTTCAATTAATAGTGATATGTCTTAGAAGTTTCTTTGTTTTTTTTTCTCCGGAATTTCGTAACACATTCTTAAAAACATTTTTTCGACTTCAAGCTTTGATTTTAAAGGAAAAAATTACAGCCTGATGATGAGAACATGAAGTTTTTGAAAGTACTTGCTGCTATAAAAAATACACCAGATCTATCTGACAACAATTTAACACATAAAGATCTCTTCATTCAGTGGATTATTAGTAGTTTAATGCTTATATTAAGTCTGTAAGCGAGGATATTTCGCCATTAATTGCATTAATATTGCTAATTGATTCAATGTTAGATTTTCTCTTTATATATATATATATATATGTATATTTATATATATACGATTCTGGAATGATAATATATATATATATATATATATATATATATATATATATATATATATAAAAACTGACTATGCATGTATGTGTGTGTGTTCATGAACTACGCGAGAATTATAAGGCATATTTCCACCAAAATTGGAACATAGATTTGCCACCCAGGCGCTCTTACATTTGTCAGATTTTTAAAAATGCATGAGCCCCCCCCCGCTCCGGGATGACCCTACAAATCCTTAATGCCTCAATTGCTTTTCAAGTGTATTTTGTAGGAGTATTCTCCAATTTCAACGAAAATTTAAGTACATATTGAGATTATATCGAGTAACTGAAGTAGTCACTTGGGATTCACGGAAAATCAACAGTGGGACCCCCACGAGCTAGGGGACCAGCAGGGAACCCCGAAAATTTCAATTAAGTCTACAGCTTTGGTCATAAAGTCAATTAAATAGAAAACTTAAAAAAGATGTGCTTTATTATTTCAATTACTATTAGTCTTAAACCTTTAAATTATATCCTTCCTTAAGAAAAAAATGAGTGCAAACGAAAGTGTGCACCGATGAGAGAAGTGTACGTAGGTATAAGACTCGTGTGCGAGATCAATCGAGATGTGTAGTGTGTACAATTGATTTTGCTCCACGTGCAATGATCGATCGAGTTATGTAGTACCTACTATCGATTTTGCTTCACTTGTAGTGTTCATTAGTGCTATGTGATGAAATAAATGGAAAAAAATCTCATTCCCATCAAAGTTGTCATCCAGTAAAAAGGTAGGCTGCCTTCATGCATGTATATTTTGAATTTTTGATACCTTAAATTTACATTTGTGAAAATCATATTATTAAAAATGTTTATGCGTAAATTCCAATTTTTAATTATATATTTATTATTTTCTAATCAAGGTTTAAATAATGCTTACTAACTGATATATCTGGAAACTTGAGCCCTAAAATTTTGACAGTTTTTTTTGAAAAATGCACTTATAATAATGTAAAAACCCTCTTTTGATTCATTTATAATTATGCTAAACTTAGCGTGTACGTTTTAAGGTTCATAGTGAGTAGGTTTCTAGCTGCACGTTAATTATTATTTTTATCTCTAGAACGTTTTTTTGTATATTTTTAGATAAATCCTAACTTTACGAGCTTGCTTATAATTGTTTACTACGTTCCCGTGGTCTCCCTTATAAACTTGCATTTATTTATTGTGGCTATATTTCCATTAATGTGTATAATTGATTACTTCATTGTTATTCAAAAAGCTTAGCCAACCAACATCCCCAACTACAGCCTGACAGTAATGCCAAGAAAGCGAAATCCTTCACTTGGACGTGCTACTACTACAGCCAAACGCATGAAAGCACGGAGAAGAAACACTTCGCAACAAGAAACTCAAATTAGACTGACACAAAATGCTATTCGTACAGCTAATGCAAGGTGAGCAGAAACTAATGAGCAACGGTTAACTAGACGAGGAAGGATCGCTGCCAGAACTTCTGATACTCGAGCTGTCGAAACTGAGGGGCAAAGAACAATTCTATGCACTCTTTGTGAACGTTGGTTTTCAGCCTTGGCACGGCTGCTAGGAGAAGTCTTTGTTGAATTCCTTCTCCTTTCAATGCTTGTTGATCATCCGATGCAGTTTGAGCAAAAGCTGTCAACAAAGCATTTCTCCTCAACAATTTTCGAAGATCGATTGC